TGTTTCCTTTCATTACTAAAACTGAGCCTTGTGGTAAAGGAACGAAACATGATCCACTGAATTTCCCCAGACCCAATATCTTGAACTTGTTGCCAAAAATCATATCACCCTTACTCATAAGTGAGATTGTGTAGAAAGGTAGTTCAAAACTGTGGTGATCAAAATGCGGTAGATTGTAATCTCCTTCATCGTAAATGTTAACTATGTAGCTATCCGGCCTAGATGACGGCGGTAGAATTTGCCTCGCGATTAGTTTATTAATCATGTACTTGAATATGATTGGCAAAGGATCCACTTTTGTACTTCGAGCGATACCTGTCAAGAGGCCTCGGGAATCCCATTCAGGGTTATGAAAACACTCAAATTGCAGAGTGGTTCTCCCTTTCTCATTTAACCATCTCTTTGGTTCAAAGGAAGTCTGTTGTTTCAATATCCCTCATCGACCCATTGTCCAAAGTTCATATATAACTTAGATAATATATTTCTGTTCCACAATAGTGAATATGTCGGCGTAGTTCTAGTATGTTGACTTGCCCCTCTCCAACCTTCTCCATATGTTCAAAGGTTTGCGCATTACACTCTGTTGGTTGATCATCCCACTTAGTTTGAAACAATTGACCCAGTTTCATTGTCAATAACTGGGTGGAGGAATTCGTTATTGTTCTGCTGTCTCCAACTGCTGTGGGCTTCCCAAGACAATTATCTATGATCATGATGTGGGAGTTATTAAAAAAAAAAAAATGGAAAAACTTGGCATAAAACTTCATTTTTTCAAAGTCCATTAACCTCAAACTAACGGTCAGATTGAAGTAATCTATAAGAGCTTGGGATTTCTTTTGGTGCTTAGTAATCAATCATGCTATTAGTTGGAACCTTATTCTTTTCCCGTTCTCATAAGACACTCAAGATGCCTATAATAGTTATATTAATCGGCCGAACAGTATGAGTCTCATCGACTTGCCTGTTTTATATAGATCTATTGGCATCCTTATTCACACAATATAAGCATGACTTTTATTGAGAAATTTAGTAGAATTTTTTGAAGCTGGATAGTGTTAATACAACGCATCGTCGTGGTCATCGTCGTTGTCCTGAAGTCTAGTATTTATTTACTTAAGAAATTTACATAGTTGTATTACAAACACGTATGTTGTTGTGCCTTTTTGTCATGATTATTGTCCTATAAAGGGATTTTATGTTATTAGGATTAGGGGTGGCATTGGGTTATTTATTATGTCATAGCTTATGATGAAGATTTTTGTTATTATGATTGCTGGTAAATATTAAAAAAAACTATAGATATAATAATGGTGATAAGTGTGACAATGATGGTAGGAGTGATAATAATGGTAGGTATGAAAATAACCAGGACAGATAAAAATTTTGTGAACAAATATTTATATTTTAGTATCTCTTTCATGTTCATATAAATAGATAGTCTTTTATAATGCTCAGTACTTGCTTATTGAGGGAAGAAATGCATCTTGATTTTTTATGCTAGATTATTAGAGTATGCGAGTTCATAACCCTTAATATGAGTATATTCAAAGGGGGGCTTGAGGAGGCAAAGGCCTTCCCAAAACTTTCATATATGTGCTCCAAAATTTTATACATAAATATTCTGACATAAATCTTTAGAGAATGCTCAAGTTAGAATTCAATTATATTTCAAACTTATAGATTTTGAATAAAATATCACTAAAATATTTGATTAGTTGTCAAAATTCTATGTGAATTCAATCATTGATGTCTCATTAAAATTTTTTATATATTAAAATTTGAATCCCAATTATATAACAAAACATCATATTTAAATATCTTATAATAATATTATAACCAAAATCAAAATGAAATGAAAAATGAATTTTGAAAGTGATAAGATTAACTATTAAAATTGACTTATGATTTTAAAATTGATTTTCTTAAAACTTTATGAAAAATTGAATCTATATTTTAGTCTATTAAGATACGCATTATTCTACAAAGATTATATATATATATATATATATATATATAATGATCTAAATAAATTTATTTATTTATTAGTTATATTTATGTATTTGTTCTTTTTTCTAATCATAATAAAAATTTGAAAATGTTTTAGTTTTTCTGAAGTTTTAAATTTAAGTTTATTTGAATAATAAATAATACAATAACTAAAATATATTTATCGTTCAAATTATTTAGTTATGATAAAAATTTGAGTATATTCTTTAAATAGTTAGATTGTGTCTCTCTCTGAAAAGCTCATGGCTACGCCACTTACCCTTAAACAATAGTTTCAGTGGAATGAGTGAGATATTGTTGACTATTTTAAATTCATTGTAGGTATATCCTTCATAGTTATTTATTTATTTTGGGCTTTTATAATCCTTCTGTTCGTTATAAACTACTCCACGAATAGTTTGACGAGTTCATTGAAAGTGTTGATAGTTTCTTTCGGGAGAGTAGAATCAAGTGCGAGTCCGACCCTTGAGAGTGTCAACAAAAATTTGACAAAGAAGCGAATTAAAAGCACACTGGATGTGCATTATAGATCGATAATGGTCAATGTGTTCATTTGGTGAAGCCTGCTGGGATGGAGTATTGGAGGATCACCTAAGCTAAATTTGAAGACTCTTGAAAATTACAAGGGGTGTTGGAGGATCACCTAAAGCTAAAGTTGAAGACTCTTGAAAACTACAAGCAGGGAGACGATTCATATCCCCCAGATGGAACTCTGCTCTAACCATTCGATGTAGCTCATCAAATATTACACTTTTAGGAGTGGTAGCAAGACGTAGCTGGGCTAGGTTTCCTGTCATTGTTAGAGGGCTACCTGTTGGCTTAGCTACACAGAATGGATGAGTAGAACTCGTAGTATCAAAGAGGTCGACATCTTAGCCTGGCGAAAGAGTCCCATCGCCATGGGGAGGGGGCCTAATAAGAGTTTCTCAAGTGGGGCATTTCCTACTAGTTGTTGACCTTGTGGTAAGTATGCTCTATTTAGTTGTGTGAACATTGACTGCTAAGCCTCACGTAGGAGCTGAAGAATCACTTTCCAAAACTTCTTTATCTTGTGCACTCGGTCTTCCAGAGAGGGACTTGTGGCGTCTTTGCCGGCAGGATAACGTTTCCAGGGTGGGAAAAGGCAGAGGCTTGATGTCGCTAGCTCAGTGATTGTCCACTAGAATGGTTGTTGTTGGAACGAGATGTTCTATTGTTACGAGCATTATGTCTGGTGGTCATTTAACAAATTATACAAGTCCTTTGATGGTGGGATTGTGTTTCCCACATATAGTGCCAGAAAATTTTGTGCCAAAATTTTTTTTGTCAATTGAGTAATAAATTATTGTCTCAGCGGCATGTGAAATCCAACATACACACGCACATAAATGACAAAAATAATAAGAAGAGACATAAAAAAATTTTACGTGGAAAAACCCAGAAAGGTAAAAATCCATGAGGCATGACTCGGTCAAAATGTTCAACTATAAGTTTGCAAAAAAAAAATATGAACCATTTTCCCACAATCAGGATAGAGTTAGCGGGTTTCTCCAACAAACCTCTTTTTTGAGGGGGCGCAAACTGCCCCTCTAGACCCAATATAGGAGGGATTGGGGCAACGAAGGACAAAGTGATATTTCAGGAGGGGCAAAGGGCCAAATCACCCTCCCATATAATAAGTAAAAGTCTGAATTTGAACGTCCCTGATGCAAAGTGCTTCGTTGCAACGTGCGCCGTTACTCCACAAGGTCTGCCAATGGCAAATGAGGGGAGAGGCAGGTAGCATTCGATGGCGGGCGGTGGGTGGTGGTCGGCGACAACATAGGCTGGAAGTGATTGTTGGGTCTTCAATCTAGAACAACTCTGGAAATTGACTACTCCAAGTTCAGGTTTTAGTCTTTGTCTACGTCTCAACTTAGATCCATGCTCCTTTTCATGATCATGTTCCTTTTCATGAAGTTTCATCCTCCGTTTCAAATTCCTTTTCATGCTCTATTTATAGGTTTTGGGAGTTTCATCCTCCGTAACCATGCTCCTTTTCATGAAGTGAGTGGTGTTCTATTTATAGGTTTTGGGAGTTTCATCCTCCGTAAATACTGCAAGAATCCAGACCACTCCATCAGACAGTACATAGTGATTCCCTTGATCAGATGTTATTTTATGGATATTTAAGTTTCTCAATAACATTGAAATTGAATGATATTGGGCTCGTTGGATTCGTCTCATCGAGACACTCGATTTGACTATAAGCTTATCAAATTTGAAGTCAATTTACCTTCTAATTAACCACATAAAGCCTCTAAAAATTGTTTAACAGCTTGGATTCGACTTGATATAAATCGGGCTGTATCAATTTTTGGTGGCATTAGGTTTGTGTCGTTGAGTCGATCAGTTTGACTATAAGTTGCTGAAAATTGACTTTCTGGATAATTTTTAATTTGAATTGGAACATTTCTAACCCCAAAAGTGCCTTGAGATTCGTGTTGAGTGCCTTGAGATTCATACTGAATGATAAATTTGTTGACGATCATCACTTGTATTCCACAGTCCCTTTCTTAGCAAGGTCATATCCTTGCAACATTTTTAGCACGTAGACATCCATTTTGGGGGTAAGAAAATCCAATGGGGTTCTTTTGATATCAATGAATCTTAGTGTACTTCAGCATGTACATTGGTTGGAAAGAAAGTGATAAATTCCAAAAGGTCAAGTTCAAAGGCTCACCATACCTGAGAAAAAAAGGATTCTTATTCTTCAACATGTACATTTCTGAATTTTTAATAGATTTGTTAAATTTCTAAATTTTATTTTTCAACTTTTTAAGAGAAATTCTTAATTTTAGGGTGTTCAATTGCCCATCCTAGAGTCTTTCTACTTCCACCCTTGGGCATGAACATAATTATCTTGAACAAAACATGTAATGCAGAGCACAATATAGAATTTCTTAAATCCATATAGAAAAGTTTTAATTTTCTACTTTTTTTAATGATAAATGGTTTTCTTATTTTGGATGCAGAGGTGCTGTTCGATTTTATCCTAGAGGTCCATCATCCTGCAGAATTGAGGTGAGAAGTCTTGAATTTCATCCTGTATACGGACTTATTCTGCCTATGGAAGATAAACTTGTTAATTTATCATATAATTCCATAATAAAATTAATATCCTATTTATTTTTATGGATAATTACATGAAGAACACCTGAAACACTGACATTTACAAATTCACAATCTATTTGATTTTTTTTTAATCATCGAACTGATGTATTTACACGTTTCACGATAAAACTATAGAGAATTTGATAAAAATAAAAAAAAAATATGGGTTGGAGTTCTAACATGAACTTTGATATTTGAGAGAGAATTTGAAAAATAAATAAACAAGAGTGGTTGATTTATAAATATCAAGTTTCGGGTGGCCTGTACGCTTATTTTTAATGTGCAACTTGTATAAATTGTAATAATCCTATCTTCTTTAGAAGCAAACAACTTTATCTACATGTCATAATTAAACTAAATTTCATTTGCAAATAGTATTAACACTAATATAAGGAGACTAACTAATAAATCAACCAACTTTTTTTTTTATATATGTAGTTTATTCTTTTGGGCATTGACATACATACCACCCAATTCCTATGTATTACATATCTCTAACATCTAAACTTTACTTTTTACATTTATACCGTTCCAATCTTTCATATCATATAAAAAATACCATCATTTTTAACTTTAAAAAAGCGAAATACATTTTTCATGCATAGTTAAGATGATATATCTAAAAAATAAAATTTAGTTAGGTATATAAATACTTAGGAATTACTTTTTCATGCATAGCTAAGATGGTATATATCTAAAAATTAAAATTTAGTTAGGTATATAAATACTTAGGAATTAAGTCGCATGTATAAAAATATTTATTCTTTTATAACTTCTTAATGAATTTAATCGCAAACTCGCATCCACCACCTATGCGTGGCCTCGAACTTAATATCTCTAGATCGAAAAAGTCTCAGCTCTCAACCAACAAGCTAAGATTCAATACGCTCATTACTCGTCTTCTTAAGCGGCTTAATTGTGGCTCCTTAGTAACCATTCTTTCTCACACTTTTTATTATCATTCTGCAACAATCCAGCTGACTGTTTCCTATGAGGTTCCTGAAATCTTATCCCCCATTGCAGCAGTAAGTAGCAGAAATTGATAAACATCTCCCTCTCTCTCTCTCTCTCTCTCTCTCTCTCTCTCTCTGAAATGTTGCTTATAAGCTTTTGGCTCTGCAGGCACTGAAACCATTCCTGGAAGGACTGCTGCAGGGAGGATTGGAGAGGTTTGTGCAGTTTGCGAGAGAATATGAGAAGAAAGTGCCGCAGAGCTGAGCTCTGCTGGAGCTTGATTTCACTCTGTTAAGTGAAACAGTGTTATACATGTGAGAAAAATTAGTGTTTATTTTAAAAGATTAGATATATTTATGAAGGTTATTTTAGTTTTAATAAGTTTTTATTTTTATTTTCTTAATGAATGATAAATCATGAACTACATGACTCGAATCTTCTCGTTCGGCCGCTATGTCTCGAAGTCTTTAACTATTTTTAAAATTGAGTAGATTGGAGAAAAAATAAATGGGAGATTCACCTTACCAGCAATCATAAGAATCTGTGTCTGTATGGGGTGGATGCAACTGTTCGATGAAGTAGCTAAGAAGCTGCTGCAGAAGATGCTGTTATGGGTGAAGTTATGTTTGTATGGTTTCTTCAACTATTCAACTAAAATAAGGAACATATTGTCTTTCCATGTATATATGATATATTTAAGATAGCAATTTAAAATTAACACATACAAAATAACATATATGAAATTCTGAAAAATTCATAAGCTCAAAATATTTTATCCAAAGTTATAGAACATAAATCACTTATAATACCAAGAAGTAATGTTATCGTAATATTACTTTTAAAAGTCAAACGATCAAGCCACCAAAAAGACTTACATTATAAAGCTACCCTATTTCTCGACAAATTAGAGTTTATTAAATAAAAATAACTTCTCTTAATGTTATATGTAATCACTATTGAACTTGTATCACACAATTATGATGTACTCACATATAAAAAGAGTTAAAAATATCAAACATTTTCATCATTAAGAAAACATCCATCTCAACAATGTTATGTAAGGAAAAAAAGAGACCAACAAAATGCCCATGATCACACAATCACAACAAAAAGAAAAAAAAACCAAAAAACTATCCAACGAGATCAAACCCATTATCAGAGAACTGCATAAAGAAGTAACCAAGAAACATTCCAAGAAGAGCATACCATGATCGTAGAATAACGGAAAGAAATAACCAAGTGAAAACCCAAATCGAGTGCCATCCTCCTCATCTAAGGATTCTGGGTTACAAAGCAAGAAATCAGCCACAGAGGAAACGCAACAACTCAAACATCTAAAATTTCAAAGAAAATCATCGAAGTGCAAGCAATCTCTGTCAAAAAAATCAAAACTGACATTATCTAGATGAAGCCATGAGAGTAATAATGTAGAGAGAGTGAGAGATTCAGAGATAGATTGGAGGTTTAGGCATCTCACCAGTCGAGTGAGGAAAAACAAGGGGCAGCCACAGAGAACCATCCCAATCTACACACAAAAGAGGGCAACTTAAACAATTAATAATAATGCCCTCGTTCATACTTTATTGGGATGTTACGAGAAAATGTTGGGGGATAAAAAGGGATAAAATAAAAAAAAAAAATTTGCCCAAATCTCGAATGTAGCCCCCCGCGGATCCTCTCGGATGGTCGTATACCGTGATTTCACTCCTACCAAAGTCCACGACCCTGCCACACCTACGAGGCACTGATCAAACATACCGATGGTGTGTTCTAGGAACGAACCGTCAGCCCGCCACCACACCAAAAGCCTCAATATAATTATCATTATGATTCTCTAAATGAGAGGGCAATAATGAAGAATAGATGTTGTTAAGCTTCTAAATGTTAAATTATATTCAATTATGCTATATAATATTTTTGCTTAGGGTAGCTGCAACTACTTAACAAAGCAGCAGTAAAACAGTTACAAAAGAAGATGTTGCGAAAAAAACTATTGTGTATGAAGTTGCGTGTCTGTTTGGTTAGCCCAACTGCACAACAATTGTGTTGTAGTTGTTTTTGAACAATATTGCTCTATTATATATATGGTATATGTATGCTAACCAATTCAGAATTAATGCACACATAAAAGCAGAGCAAGGTCACAAAATTCTGATCTCATAATTCAGTGAGAGCTTATAAACAATAATTTTCATTTTCTTCTGCACAATTATAATGTAATCACATATCTAGCACCAAAATAATACTTATGATTCAAGGTAGAAGAGTGATCACTGAGCTAGTGGAGACGGTAAAGTGGCACAACAGAAGAAAGAAAAAATCATGATCAATAGTATGATCACAGAACTACATAAATATGAGCACACCAGGACCACAAAACCAAAACTTTTTGGACATACCATTTAAACACATGAAATTTTTGTACATACCTCACAATTATGATGTAATTACATATCAAGGAGCTAAGAATATCAAACATTTTCATCATTAAGAAAAAAAAAAACAATATTATGTGAGGAAAAAAATAAACCGCAAACAAATAATCAAGATACATTCCAATAAAATATTAACCAAGAGAATCCAAATTGAGATCAGAGCAGTGATCACATAACTATAGAAACAAATAATCAAGATACATTCCAAGAAAATATTAACCAAGAGAATCCAAATTGAATGTCATACCGCAAACAAATAATCAAGATACATTCCAATAAAATATTAACCAAGAGAATCCAAATTGAATGTCATCCTCCCCATCTAAGGATTCCAGATAACATCACTAACGCTCAACAAAATAAGAAATCAAGAACCGAGGAGATGCAGCAACTCAAAAACCTAAAATTTCAGAGAAAACCATCAAGCAGCAAACAATCTTTGCCAACAAAAAAAACATACATTGAAACTATCCAAATGAAGCCATGAGAGTAACAAGGCAGAGAGAAAGTGAGAGAAAGACAGGTTAGGTGTTTAGGGATTTCATCAGCCGAGTGACGTAAAATGAGAGCAACCACAAAGAACAATCCCAACACACGCATAGAACATCACAGTTGAAACCAATATGAACAATGCCCCAATTCATCCTTTATCAGGGATATCACAATGAAATATTGGAAGTGAAAAGGGATAAAATGGAATAAATTCTGCCTGAAATGTGGAACGTAGCCCGTCGCGACCCTGCTCCGCTTGCGACGCATAAGTCAAACAAGCAGACTGTGTGTTCCTCAGCCTGCCGCCTCGCGACCCTGCTCCGCTTGCGACGCATAAGCCAAACAAGCAGACTGTGTGTTCCTCAGCCTGCCGCCGTGCCACACCTCCTAGATGTTGAGGTAGCTCAATGAAAATCTTGGTAATCTAGTGAATTTCTTGATAGTCCCACGTAGAAGAGTAGAAATAAGGGCTGATATAACTTGTGAGGAAGTTGGGAAGACTTGTGCATAGATGCACATCTAAGGCATTTTGGATGTGAATGATGATTCTATAATGGTGCATGTGCTCGTAAGAGTGGAATGAACCATCATTTGATTTGATAGCTCATAACTTGAATCCCACAGGAATGGGATGTTGAAGAAGAGCATTGAAAAGCAAAGATGTCTCCAAACCGACTCACTCAATCTTTAATATCATGTAAACAATATCTCTCTTATTAATTCCTTAAAAATGAAATATACATTTTCATAAAGAGTTTTATGACTATGAAAGTTTGAATGTCATGTAAATACATAGAATTGTATGATTTGTTTACAAATTATTCTTGTAAATTTTGTTGTTTTATTACTATTTATGACACATCCCTAAAAGAATCATATTGATTGGCATAAAACTCGATACACATTTAGACGAAAAGCTTCAAAAATTAAATTTGAAAATGACCATACTCCAATTTATGATCAAGTGAAGTCTCTCAGTGGGATGAATCAAACGACATAGAAAAGGATCTGATTTGAGTCAAAGTGAGCCCAGACCATGCACTTAAAGCATACAGAAAAGCTTTGGAACTCTTTGGGGACCAAATGATCTCCAAATTTGACAAGTTCATAGACAAATCAAGTATTTTGATGAGATGAATTAAATGAGCCGAAGATCACCTAAGTCTGGATCATTAAGACATTCAAATACTCATAAAATTATATCTGATTAATTGAATCACTGTAGGCATTTGATGGAGCGGTCTGGATTCATGCTAAATTTATAGGGGATGTCATTCACAAAATCTATAAGTAAACCCTCATTCTATTCATGAGAGGGGACCATATTTGGTGAAGAAGGCTAACAGAGCTCCAAGCTCTCTTGAGGGGTCCCGAACTTCACTGCCGTTGAACCACCGTTGCACAGTTGTTGCCATGGTCATACACCGTCGCCACTACCGGACCACGATTGCCGCCACTGACCACTACCATCAAGTTGTCGGGTAGTCACTGCCGATGACACTATCACCAGATTTTTTGGCACATGAACTCTATTGTTTGTCTTCCACCTTCACTTCCCCAATGTATTTTGCTACTCCTCTAGCGGAAGTCACATCGATAACCTTGTGTAATTATGTTTCCAACCATTTAAGGGGCTATAAAATCTTGTAACCTATATTGGCTTAGTGAAATCATTTCAACTGAACTAGACCATGTAGTTTTTACCCTTTCGACTTTTTCAAGTAGAAATCTCTAGTGTCCCCTTTATGAGCTCTTCTTTTATCTGTATATGGTGGATCTTCATACAACACTATGACATTATATATAACTCTACCACTGCAAATTTACCAACACATAAACAATTTCAGTACCAAATGTATGAAAGATTTACATTATTTTATGTGCATTGGACTCATCTCGAAAAGACGTTCATTTTGATTATAAGGAAATTGAATCAAAGTATATATAACCATTTAAATAGTTTTGGAAAATTTTTATTATGTTTAAAATTACACTTCTTGATGTCATTTAGGCATGAGTTTAGCTGTTTTTGATGTTTATAACATAATGATTTTGATTATTAGCATGTAATCATAATAGCTTATTTAATCCATTATCTAAGTCTTAAATACATATACATTATCTAAGTCTTAAATAGCTTATTAAATACATATATGTTTATAACATATAGCTTATATATATATATATATGAGAATCCAA